GAATTTGTTCAGATTATCCAACATCAAAACATTTAAAAAGGACGTGTGAGACTGAGGCTGTTCTTACTTTGTCCATGTCAACAGAGAGCTCTGCAAACCACTGCCTGGCATCTTTTTGCTGTACCACACACGCAACATGCAGACAGGCTGTGGAGGGGAAATGAAGAACAGATGATCATGTTACATCTAATAAATCTTATTTTAAGTCGCTAACTACGTTAAATATTTGCAATGAGAAATGCATGCTGTCGATCTTACCCAAGGCAATCATGAAGGGAGGGTAGAGTAGACACAGATCTGTCCTGTATGTGTCGTTCACTATTCGCCTGCGGAAGAGAGAGACACTGAGTGAGCCCACCAACGGCAGCTAAATCGGGTATGTTGTGGATTTATTCGTCACATCACCAGATCATTTCCAGATGAATGTACAAAGACGGTATCATACCAAGCCAGGGGCAGCAGCATGTCTTCCTGTCCCATATCCTGCACATACTGCAACAGTGGTCTGTAGGGGTGGTACACTATCAGGCAGCAGTCCTGAAAAATAGATTATATCAAAAGTAAGTACTCATCCAATCAAGCAAAATACAGCCAACAGTACAGCAACAATGATACAAAGCTCTCTCCACTCACCATCAACTCAAGAAGGTAGAACTCACATTCTAATATCTGTAAAGACACATATTTTAAATTTATATATAACATATCAGAGCAGTTAAATTGTAAAAATACACAATTTTGAAGCTGAAAACGATGCTTTAACTACTTTAAACTCCCTCACTGCAGCATATTAGATGAAATATTCATACCTAGTCAAATGTATACATTTGCCTGAGAAGGGAACACCATTCCTCAATCACATGTCCAACACATAAACCTTTTACGCCATCATTATTACTACGTCTGCAGACTGGACTCGAGAATTTATGTTTTGGAGTTGCAGCTCCCCGCTAACTCATTCTCTACTGTGTGAACCACTCCCTCCTTTTATCGCTCCCCGGTGGCTCACTATAAATAATAGTTTACACAGCTCTCTGGACAGCAGCGTGTCAGAACAACCCTGGTGACGTCCTGGCAACTCGGCGGAGACGCTGGACAAATAAAATGCACGCCACTTGACACCACAGTGAGAAATGCGGTACCAATGCATGCGCAGTGGTACACGGGCAGCCGAAGCCGGAGCCATCTCCCACAGCAACAAGATTTTTATCGGAGGTTTGCGAACATTAGTTGTGGAATCTCGCGCACTGGTACGCACTCACATGGCAACACTGTGATACAGTGTAAGGGGTTTTTGGTATGCTGTAATGCAGCACGGCAGTGCATAAATAACTCGGCAGAGAAAGCAGGGAACTGTTATGTGATTGATTCACAGCATTGCTAATCCACCAGCATATTGATACTTCAGTTACTGGTAAATTATTTCTAACTTTGTTTTAGCATCAGTGCACACTTTAGTTTCAAGCTCTCCTTTAAGTCGGACTCTTACTCAAACTTTGTTCATCCCTTAAACACAAACACACACATATTAGGCACTTGTATCATTAGACAGCTGGCAGGGTTATGACTTCACTTGTCTTCTTTATGTTGCTGCATTTACTGTATAATTAATGTTATTTCTAATGCTAGTTTTTACTTTACACTTAGTGTTGTAAAATGTAAATTCTAACAGGTATTTTACTCACATGATTCATTCTGTAAGGGAACTCCTTTGGAAAGGCATAGGAAAATCTTGTTTTCACTGTTGGAGAAAAACAATTATACTGTCTCAGTGAACAGGAAACACTACTACTACTACTACTACTACTACTACTACTATTATTATTATTATTATTATTATTATTATTATTATTACTACTACTACTATTATTATTATTATTATTATTATTATTATTATTATTATTACTACTACAACTACTACTACTTTTAAGTTTAGTAAATGTGTTGCTTAACGACTTACACACAGATGTCGCTGCAGAGATCAGCCTGGTATTGGACACAACTCCAAATTCCTGAAAGGACATAAATGTTTGTGCTTAGATAAGTTAATATAGCACAGATGAAACAGACCAGGGTGGAGCTACTGGGGGACTCGGATGAGCAGCAGGACAGCGTGTCACTCCATGTGAAAGCCACATCACCACCCACAAAAACTGCCTCTTCCAAAGATGTAAAGAAATGGAACATGAGACAGACTATCTTGCTCATTATTAAAGTTGAGGTGGTGAAAATGTGCAAAAGTGTAAAATTCTTGTCTTCCTGGCACCACAGACACTTCCATACCTCAACTTTAGAGGCCAGGAAAACACAGGTAGGAGCCATGAGTACCGGATCTATACTTTTCAGGGAATACCTGTGAACAAAAAGAAATAAGAGATTTATCAGCGTTGGATGAGCAGGGACGCAGTGGAGATTAGGTGACAATGACGATCATAAGCACTGCTTAGAGCTACAATACGTGAGTTAACATGTGACATACTTTAAGGGAAAAAGGGAAGGTGTGCATCAGCTCAAACGTTTAACTTGCTATGTTAAAGGCTATGTAATATTAACATCATAACCGTACTATAGCTAATCAACAATATTGTGTTCTATTTGGACAATGCACAGATGTTTTTTTATAAAATATTCTGATCTAAACGAGGTGGGTTACATGGTTTCTGAGAATAAAATATCATTAGTTATCTGAATATTATAGAGTTATTCACGTTTTCAGATAAAAATATCAAATAAATGTGCCAAATGTAGTGAAGACAGACAATGGCAGGACAATATTTAAGTTGGACAGCTACATTAATACAACCAAGGTCCAAAATCAAACTTATTCTAATATCCTCTCATGAGTATTACGCTGATACCTCTTCCTTACCTTGCATAGAAGCGTTTGAAGTAGACAGTTGCAGTGGCAATGACCTGCTGCCGCAGCTTCAGGTGTTCCCCCAAAGCCTGGATCACTGAACCAGACAGAGTTAAACATCAACTTAACTATCTGTTAATAATTCAGAACAAATACACTGAGCACGTTAAAGGCAACTAGACTACTTATATGTAGAAAATACAATCCAACAATCAGTTAGACAGCATTAGTAGCACACATGTACTGTGTTATTTAATCCAAGAAGTTATGAAACAAATACCATTGGCAAAGAAAATCTGCAGCTTCCAGTACTCCTCTTCTGAAAGGAACTTCAGATCCTTCTGGCGCTCTTTCATCAGGTCCTGTTTGTCCAGAACCCACTGCAAGCTATTACGGGTTAAATAAAACACATTATTATTTTATTATACTCACAGTTACTCTGGTTAGTCAAAGTGTCATCAACCAAGCTAGCGGGAAGCACAACAGTATCATCATAAGCCACTGTTAGCCAGCTATATCCCCGTCGCAAAGCATGAAAAACATAAAAGTAAGCTGGTCTAATTCAGATTTTACAACAGCCTTTATCTTTAATGTGTTTTCCTACTGTATTTATGTATACAGCTAGTTTACATCGTAGCAATACTTCGACAGAAACTGATGGCTTTGACGTACGGCAGCGCTAGCTAGGCCTCACAACAGCGACGCGAATCTACTAAATAAAGACGTAAAAAGTCAAAATGTGAATAAAAACATACTAATGAGAACTCTGCCAGAAGTTTCCCGCCATGTCGCAGCAGTTGAGGTAGAGGAGCTCACTTTAAATTAAGATTACTTTGCTACAAAGAAGTAGACAAAACGGGCAAAGTAGTAACGCTAAGCAGACACCGGAGTAACAATAACAACCTTCCGGTGGATGGCAGCTGGTGCGGTGGGATGGTTCCGGATTTTAAGTTCCGGGTGTGTGGAGTGACAGATTGATGGATGTGCTCCAGAATTAAACACACTCAGAGCAAAACACTTAACGCAACATTATGAGTAAGTGCACAGCGGTATATGCAGTTATGTATTTACACACGTTAAATGAATCAGAGCGTGCAGACAAGTCAACAGATATTTTCATTATTACACAATTAAGATTCTTTCAACCGCCTATAATAAGTTAATTGGCGTAACCTTGATAGATGTTTGTAGGGACATTCACCCTCGGGTTGGGGAGGTTCAACATTCCTCTGTAGTGTTTAGGGAAGGGCTGAGGATATAAAGAGCCCACCACAGACTAAATGTGTGACCAGTTTCAAGTCTCCAAGTTGAAGTTGCAGAAGCTACAGGAGCGTCAACATGAGCCGCAGTCCAGAGAGGATGTCTTCATACCGCCGGCATTTCGAGGGCACCTTTGCCTCCCCTCTTTCCTCCCAGGTCCGGGTGTCTAGTCCCTCTCCCACCCGCAGGGACACCCGCCATCGGTCGGCCAGCTTCACCAGGAGCGGTGGGACGATGGGGCGCAGGGCCATCTCCGATAGGGCTCGCATGACCAGGTGAGTCACCTGTCACAGTGTTGTACTGACTCCCATTCACTTGTATTAATGTGCAGCAAATTTAAATACATAATTGTAAATCACTGCATTTATGAGATTCTCCCATTGCAGTAATGAGACTGTTACAGTGTGAGTGCATAATAAGTACCCAATAGATAAATAAGTTAAACTTTCCATGAAATCCAAACTATGATTCATCTACTGGGAACTCTTTTCTGGTCCTGTCTACAGCAGTGTGAGTATGGGAGCGCTGTGCTTTGGCATGTCCATGGGACTTGGGCCAAAACTGGACCTGGATGCGGCTGCAGCAGAGAACCAGGCCTTTATGACGACTAGAACCAATGAGAGGCAGGAGATGGTGGCCCTCAACGACCGCCTGGCAGCATATATTGAAAAGGCAAGAGGACCAACCACACCAACATTGGCTCATGTATCACTCTGCCACAAATCATCATCAACTTTCAATCTGAACTAATATTGTAATCATCAGGTATGTCTCCTGTATTTCTTCTTATACTGTAGGTGCGAACCCTGGAGTCAAAAAACAAGCTGCTGGAGGCTGAGATTCAGACCCTGAAGAGCCGCCATGTCAGACCATCAGGCCTCAGGCAGCTGTACGAGGCCCAGCTGAACGATCTCAACAGGGTCGCCGTGCAAATGAGAGCCCAGAGGGTGAGAGAGGTCATATCTTATGACCACAACATGTTTAGATTGTAAATGTTGTGGCTGGTATAGAAGCCAGGTGTGTTCAAAATATTTTAACATTCGTGCTCCTTTTCAGCTGCATTGTTTCCATGTTTGATCATTTTGCTGTTTATCTATCTGTTGTGGCCAGGATGTGTCTTTGGCAGCTAAGGAGGCCATGTTGGGCCAGTTGGACATGCTAAAGGCCAAATATGATGAGGCTGTGGTCGCTCGGAAAAAGACGGAGCATGACATTGAGGTTCTCCGTCCAGTAAGGAACAATAGAAAGTCTTTTCACAACTTCGAATTTAGTATGTTTCTGTATTTTAATTGGAGATTAATGAATCAAATGAACCAAACCCCTTCAAATATTATGTTGTTCAATGTCCCAGGATGTGGATAGAGCAACCTCAGCACGGATTGTGCTGGAGAAACACCTGGAACATCTGGAGGTTGAGCTGGCCTTCCTGCAGAGAGTGCACAAAGAGGTAATGCATGTTTGTCTACCACATACTGTGTATATGAGTCAGTGGCCGGTGGCTGGCATGCCTTTCATTTTATCGTTAATGGTTTAATGGGTTAACAAGTATTGCTATGACAGGTTATACTTACATCGAGAGCTCGTGATGGATACAGAGTGAGTGAGACCGTAAACATGGTAATTATCAACATGGTGTGAGGGCCTCATAGGAAGCTAAAGGGGAAAGCTGTGACTAACCTATGGAGCAGAGCGGTGGAGTGAACCTTCCTTTATAACAACACGTTTATGTTATTAAGGATATGACTTACCCACATACCAGATTAATAAAATCATCTTTCATATTGGAGGTAGAGACCACAGCATATATTCTCAGTCTTTTAACTTCTGGTTGTTTATGATCCACTGCAAGGAAATCGAGGAACTGATGCAGCAGATCTACACAGTAGCCACCAAGGTGGACCTGAGCTTTGGCCTCCCAGACCTCTCCACTGCTCTCAGACAGATTCAGTCTCAGTATGACAGCATTGCCGCCAAAAACCTACAGGTACGATGCATTAGTGCAACAATGAAGTGTAACAACTGATGTTATTAACACAAATGTTCATCATTATTGTTTGGGTTAGAAATAACATGCAAGAAATGCTATTGTATGGCAATAAAAAAACTATTGAATAATACAATAATCTACTGAAACACTGTTAATGTTGGTTCTTCAGGAAATGGACGCTTGGTACGGGTCAAAGTTTCAGGACCTGAGCAACGCCTCCACCAAACACGCTCAGAGTCTTCGAAGTGTGAGGGAGGAAATCGCAGGCTATAAGAGGGATGTGAGTATGATTTCCTATTCTTGTTCATGGTTACTACAACCACCTCTTTGCTTAAAAAAAGCTGCGCGTGTATAGATTCTCAGCAAGCAACGTGAACTGGATGCAGCGCAGACGAGGAATGAGTACTTGGAGGCTCAGATTCGTGATGCAGTGGAAAAATATAAGAAGAAGGAGGAGGACTTACAGGTAAGTGACACGATGTGCCATTGCTTTTATTTATATTCACTCAGGCTGTTCACACAGTAGGATACAGGATATCCTGTGGCCCAAGACACCTTAAAATAATTCTATTCTGTACTGAAACAGGAGCGTATAGAGGCAATCAAGTTGGATCTGAAGATGACCAAAGAGAAGATCGCTCTGCTGCTGCGGGAATACCAGGACCTGCTAAATGTGAAGATGGCCCTGGAGATTGAGATCACCACCTACAGGTGAACAAAACCTAACATCTGCCCTTAGTTCATAAGGTCCAGTGGAAAGGAGAAACATTGCAATTGGAGCTTATAAAATGTCACTGCACATTGGGTATTTTTCTATTTATATGCAGAATTCATTCTAACTCCCCTCCCATCTGTTTATTTGTCTCAGGAAGCTGATTGAGGGGGAAGACAGCCGTCTGAGCACCATGGTCCAAAACCTGTCCCTGACTGGTGGGATGCACCTCACTTCCAGTGTTGGCATGCGTGCGACCTCAGCCTCAGCCTCTGATAGCTCAGCCCCTGCAACGGCTTCAAAGCTAGACGGAGCCCTCTGTGATTCATCCGGTAGCAGGGCCGAGAAAGCTGCAGGTGCTGGCGGAGCAAGAGTGGAAGTGGCCTCATCAGACACCCAGACAGACTTAGAGGAGCAGGCGACTGAGGTGTCTGAGAGGAAGACTGTCCTCATCAGGTAGAGAGTGTCATTTGTAATTGTTCTCGAGCCGAACCGCTGACATAGTCACCGGATACAGAAACATTTTTTAATCTTATTTCTCCACCTATTCTTGTTTTTTCCCCAGAACAGTTAAGACAGACGAGGACACTTTTGAGAGCGACACACAGGAACGCACCATCATCATTTCTGGAGCAGCCGAAGACACAGATGAAGAATAGACCATTCATCAACCCCAAATCTCTCTGGGCGACTCTTTCTAACTATAAGCTGAACGGCAATATTATATGTAATGTTATTCAGGTGTTTTCACTGCTTTGAATTTTTTAAATTCAATATTTAATTTAAGAAAAAAACACAATGCGCAGCAGTACTTGTACTTATGCCCATTTCAGGGATTGTGTTTGTCCTCCATGGACTGTCACATCACTCTGCTCTGCCTGCTCCTAACTCCCTCTGGCTTTCTGTTCTTTTAATCCTCCTGTGTGTCGGGAACATGTCTTTCAAAGTAACTAAATAAACAGCAAGCAATTATAACTGTGTTTTTTTTATTTAAAATCAAAAGGATTCATCAGTGTGAATTGAAAGAATGAAAAACACGCACACACTTACATGACTCTTTTTCTTTTCCACTATTTATTTAATCCAAAGCAGCAACTGACAATAAAGGGAAGACCAATTGCTACAAACTCCTCTCATGTAAACTTGTGATTTAATTTCAATGTTTACTAAGCAAAGAAATTACATACAGTAACTATTGAAAAAGATTTCATTTAGTAGGAAGTTGCATCATAACCAAAATCCGATTGAAACCAGCATTAAAACCTATACAGTAAAGTATCGATATTAAATAGAAACCCATAATTCACAGGCACACGGCTGCCTGTTTAGGATGCAATAACAAGCCAAGAGTAGTGTTACTCATAGCAGCATAAAACCCTTTCATTGTCTCCCCAGCGTGTCCCATATCTTCACAATGACAGACAAACACAAAGAAATAGAAAATTGGAGTGAAGTGCTAAGTGCAATTAATAGTACAAAATGATTTGGCACTTTGCCAAACAGGAAGGAATTTTGATAAATTACAACTTTAGAAAATGAGATTATCAACTGGCATTTCCTTCAAAAAGCACTGATTGATTTGTTATCGTGTTATTTTGTGTTCCTAGTGCAACGGTTTGGGTTCATCCCCGACTCCGCCAGCAAGACGATAAACTGCAAGGCTGACTTCATGTGCCAGGTCATCAGCACTCTCCTAGAACACAAACACATCGCCTCTATGTATCAGAGAATAAAAGCAAAAGGACAGAAAAAAGTCTCAAAAGTGGACCAAAAGAAACTCTCACCTGTGTTTCTGCCTCTGCGTAAACTCTCACGACATCCTCAGTGCCGGAGGGTCTCACAAAGGAGCGGGCCAGTCTGTACTTCTTCACTAAACTGTCAATGGCCTCCTGCAGTCCCGCTGGGCTCACTGCCTTTCTCTCTGCATCCGTTGTGTCTATCACCCTGCGGTCCGACACCTACAGAAAGCACAAATACATCTATTTATAACTGCTTACGCACAAATACGTGTGTGGAAGTGGAACTGATGGGAGTACAGATCATGTACAAAACAGCAAAAGAGAAAAGTAACAAACACAGGTCTGCTGTCCTGAAGTGTTGAGTGAGAGAATGAAACGCTACCAGGTCTAGGGTTACTGCAGTCACAGGTATATCGAATTATAAAGGTCTTGTTGGTGAAATTTAGGAACTCATAATGAATGTCATGTTTGGGTAAGACTTGCACTTAAGTCTAATTACTTGCTCATGAATTCTCCAAGTCAAGAAATCACAATGACGCTTTAATTTTAAAACTGCTATTATATAAAAAAGATCTATCAGAAGCAGCTCTTCAGGGATGGAGAGAAGTGAGGCCAAGTCTTTAATATTTTTTACACCAAAATTCAGATTTATCTAATACATTTTAAATAATTTCCCCTAAACTTCAAGCACTTTCCAGGATTGTCACAACACTAAGGTGACGTATTTCCCTACAAGATTACCTATCAGAAATATTATACATTATAATACATAAATTAATGAGAACCTTGACTTTGAGCTGCCTGTTTGGCAGGTCGCTGTAGATGGCGTCCCACTGCTGGATAGTCATACCCTTGATGGCTAATATGGCTTCAATCAGCAGCATGTCAGAAATAGCATCACCTACAGTCTTTAAAGATAAAAACACAAAGTAACACATCAGAACTGCGAGTCAGTAAAACAATGAGCTCGTTGCTTTAATGGTTCAGTGTGTGTTGGTATGTGTGTGTCCACCTGGTTGATGACGTTCACAGTGTTCTGCAGCAGGAGAGCCGCTCTCTTCATCTCGTCGTCGGCGCCTGGGTTCTCAGCTAGCTGCCGGATCTTCTCTTCCGCCGCCTTACTGAACAACACCTGACCGCAACCCACATTGTGACACATAATATCAGAACTATGTATTACTAATTAATTAATGACACCAGATATACCACAAGATTGTGCTTGTGTGTGATCTGTCAGAGTGTGTGTGTCTGATCTACTCACAGTGCCGTGACCGTTAGCCTCGAAGTACACACCGATATCAAACTCCTGTGCTGCGTGATGAAGGTGCTTTACTCCAGTTTTAGTGCACCTCACTATTACCTAAATCACAGGAAAAGATGTAAGCACATATTTATTCATTTGAAGAAAAATACATTTTAAAAATGCACTTGTGTTTCCTCACCTTCATGGTGTCTTCCAGGTAGTGTGTTGAGCTTCCGTTAGCATAAGCGGTTTGCACCACAGCTATCTTCAGATCTAAACCAGCCTGTATGAACAGAAACAAAAACCATTCACTAAGAGTTTGAGTAAGTCTGCCTATTTGTTGTTTTCATGTTTGTATTTGAGGGATTACCTGTGTGAGCAGCTCTTTAAGGAAAGTGCTGATGAGAGTTGCGATTTTGTCTCCATCCAGAAGGTGAAACTGTCCTTCAGTGTCGGTGTAGTAGTAAACTATTCGGTCAGCATCGCCGTCGAAGGAACAGCCACGCTCCCCTGGGTTAATCTTAATGCCTTTACAGAGGGAAGAGGAGAGGAGGAGTGGACATTATTGGATTTTGGATCAAATTAAAAGTTATAAGATGTTGAAATATATGATAGTTCTTTGGCAGTTTGCTGATTTACAGTCTCCATCTTGTGGTCAAACATTGCATCAATGACTTCGTATGACACATATACATCATATTTACTGTTTAGCTGTCACTCTAGTATACTATAATTAGAAAGTAGATAAAGTATTTTCCTTTAGAGACAAATAATATCCATCTGCAACTTTCTCTGCTCTTTGAACCATATAAAGTCGCACCTGTCGGAGCATTCTGCTGCACTTTGACAAAGTCAGCCCCACACTGGTGGTTGAGCTTTCCTTTACTGCCATCATTGAACAGCGATATATGCAGCTCCTTCTTCAGGTGACTCTCCATCTCACGCACCTTTAGAGCCCCAATACCATTAGCACCGTCCACAGAGAGGTGCTTCTGATCATCTGTACAATTGGACGTCTACCAGAGAGAAAAAGATGGAGGGAGGGAGAAAGTAGAGGTTTCTGGAATTATTATGTTATGGATGAATATATTGCACAAACACACCCAAATGTAGAGGGCTTCAATACAGTCATGGGATCTCATCCTGTTTTCTTACATTCTTTGTGAGCTGAATGAAAGCTTGGCAGAGTTTCTTATAGTAACCTTCCACTGTGGCTTCTCCATATTTACCCTGCGTGTTCTGACAGCAAACCATGTAGTGGAGCTGTGGGGTGGTCACCAAACCATAGTCTGATGAACAAGACAAGAAGGGAAAAAAGGTACAGAAATGAATGACACTAACTAAGTAAGCAAATGAATATCATGAGGTTATTAAAGTTTAATTAAACCTACCTTTGCTGTGACCACCAAGTGCAGATACTCCATCCAGGACTGCCTGTGAAAGGCTGGCACTGCTGCTTCTATAGTCAAAGGACAAAAGTGTTTTTTTTAGTCTTTTGTTATACCTGTTTTTGAGTCTAGAATTAATGACACAAAGTGGCATAAAAGCCTGGTAAAAGTGCATTTAGTTTAATTTTGAGCCCATCTATGAAATCCAAACAAGTTCATATACCTGGTATCTTTGCCAACAAACACGTTAGCCTCCTGGCTCATGTTTATGGCCTCCTTCTCTATAACGTCCTTCAGAGCAGCGAGCAAATCTTCCTGCTCGGCGTTGGCCAGCTGGGTGGCATAGCCCTCCCATGTCGGAGTCACCATCTCCCCCATGGGGTCAACCAGCTTCACGCCGTTGTCCTCCTACACGAGTGCAGATATAAAAAGACATACGGGAGGATGTTGAAGGGGAGGATTATGATTACAAGGTGTTTTAGGGTTGTTAAACTGGCAGTACAACATCATGGGGTCAAATAAACAAGGTTATGACTTGAAAGGTTAACCGAGAATTTTAAAATAAAACCAATAATTTGATCCACACAGAATACAAATTAAACTGTGTGTCTATGGCAAGACACACAGTTTAACATAAAGTGGCATATTAACGTTTTTGAACCTCCTTCTCACCTCAGGGTTGTGTGATGCGGTGACCATGACTCCGATGGTTGCTTCGGTCTTTTTGGAGCGGAGGGTGGCCAGCAGTCCCATCCTGAACATGACGTGATCCAGCTGTTTGGCGTTGGTCCTGAAACCAGCGGTGCCATACTGCAAAACCAAACCTGCAGGCTTAGGGTGCAGACTGGACTTCTTTGATACTTCCTCAAACTGGGCCATCACTAAAACACATCATGAACACATAACAAACACACCGAAGTATTATTCATTTACAACTTTAGTACTATTATTACTGCATACACATATAAGATGGCTTCTAATGTTGTAGCTAGTTAAAGCAGGTCGAATTTTAATTATATGATAAACTAAAACATACTGAAAAATCTACCAAGCTTTTCAAACATAGGCTACACATGAATTAAAATATAATGCACGCGTACATTTGGATTAAAACGACAACTGAAAACAACCAAGCTTTCATATAACAAGTCAAAGGACGAGGGGGCAAAGTTTGCAGCAGTCTGTCGTCTACCAAAGAGATCAACTCAATAAAGTGAATCACATTAATTGAATGACAGAGCAACTTACTTGACCTCAGCTACATTAACACACAGAACAAACTGCTGCCTCCGGGAATGAACGTAAAAGACAAAACAAAGCTGTGACTATAAGCGCTTTAAGTTGTTTTTTAATTCACTTACTGTTCTTCTAGATGATAAGCAGTGAAGTGTAGTCAATGAAACGCTTCCTGTTCTTCCGGTTCCTCCCTCTCATTGACGACGTGGCTACAGTTCCGTGCACGTCACGTGACGTAAGCACGTTCAGCGTGCCTATCAGTGCGCTGTATTTCTCCCATTAGAGGAGTAAGGCTCTGATGTAGGGATGCCCTGAACACCGCCACCGAGCAAAATGACCATATACAGTTATTATTTAATGTTATATGCTCGTTCCTACAAAATATCATGCTGCTTGCTTCAGAGCAGATGTGGTTACATCCATTTTAGGTTAAAATATCCCCAAGAAAAGCATTATTTTAGGCCCATGTAGCACAAATATGGGGGGTGGGTTTGGACACATTTAAAACTGCTCTGTTTGCTCTTGTCTTAACAGTATTGTAGGCCGGAATATAACCCTGATCAACTTAGCTGATCACAAACACAAATCTAAACATGCCGTGGTATGGGCAATCAGAGGGTCTGCTTAAATCTACCAGAAAGTGTTTCACCTTCATCATCTGTCTCTCTGCATCCTGTACGTGCAAACCTGTGCGATGCATAGCTGACATGCAGCAGCAACATAAGCCACAGTCACGCTCGTATATTAACCCTTTGGCGCATCGTGATAGGGGTTTCTGCACACAGTGACCCCATGTAGACTCCCCTTTAAGAGACGTGGGATGCGACGTGTGTCATCCAACCCTGTCCAAGCACCCGCTGGGGGAGGAGAGTCTAGATGGACATATAGATAGGCTAAATAAATAAACAAACGACAGGGGGAAGGAGAAAAAGGAAATTCCCTTCTGCCTTTTCCTCTTCCTGAGCATCCTGCGCTGCGCAGTGTTGGCGACACCACCGGGGAGCGGTGCGCATTTTTCTGTCGATCGAGGAGAACCAGAGCATCTGAAGCGGCACATCTAAGCCGAAACTGACAGGGTCCGAGAGGAAAGAAACCCCGCAGCCTGACAACCGAGGAGGAAATTGCGAGTTTATTCATTCATCTTGAAAGCTTTTTTTTTTGTTCAATGCACTGAGGAAAGACAGCCAAACCTGATGCACCCTCCAAACGGGATATTTGACCGACCTATGGGGTGTTGATTTACATTCCGTCATTTTCCAAGATTTCTTTTTTTTTTTTTTGGACAATCAAAGCGTGCACAGCCTTTTACACTGGCCTATTTTCTCTTCTTAGAATAAATTGCTGCGGGCTGAGAAAATAGCTTTCATTGCCAGTTGGGTGTTACATAACCGAGTGGCATTAGCTGTCCAAGGTGCTGAACTGAACGGTTGGAGGACTATAACGGGACGAGCCGAGGGGAATTCACAACCTTGCGTAAGTCTACTCACGTCTCCGCGCATATTATCAACGTGACCGCGCGATTTGATGCGAATATAACATTTATCCTGGTGGTGTGAGCTCATTTTGTGTGCTTTTTTGTCCGCCCACACAGAAGGTCACAGGCCTATCAGTCGGGGAAGAGGAAAGCGCCGCTCGTTGAACCATTTGGGAAGCTGCTGGGTTATATTCATATATTTCCCCTCCCCATCGTCCCTGTGGTGAAATACATTACTGAGGTGGTCGATTCAACGGAGAGAAAATGTCGGGGCAAACGCTCACGGATCGCATTGCCGCTGCGCAATACCAGCTAACGGGATCAGATATGGCCCGGGCTGTCTGCAAAGCCACCACTCATGAAGTGATGGCGCCCAAGAAAAAGCACCTGGAGTGTAAGTGTAGTCATTCTTCCTCTTCCTTCTTACTGCACGGCCCTGGCTGTACGGGGCCTATAGGCAAACCTGGCTGCATACACATCCACCCAGACCACATGCCATCACAGCCGTTAAGAGCTACCACATCATTATGACCGGTCATTTCTTAATTCCCTTAGCTCGAAAGGGTGTGGTTCTATAATTAATTGATGTAGCCATGGTGATGACCCCTCTGGTGACCCTGTGTGTCAGCCTCCAGTAAAGATGATGGAAACCCAGAGAGAGGGAAAGAGAGTAGAAAGGGAGAGGGAGGGAGAAAAGGTCATATTTTAGGGTAGACTGACAAGTCATCCTCAGAGATAGACCATTTAATGTCCCTTCCCTCTGCTCCTTTCTTTAGCTTCACATTGAAGCTTTATTGTAGCTGAACATACTGAATTAAGTTCATGCACACATATACACATACATACATATTAAAATGTGAATGTTAAGCTAAGATGCTGTCTGAGCGACCTGCACAGATGTCTATTTTGATTTCATGTTGTCTATCAGTGAGTTCAGGCCGATGTGGGGCCATAAAGTCATAGCTGAATAAAATTATCAAACCTCACAGCTTTATTGACACATCTACAGATGACAGCAGGGGCCACCTTATGACAAATCATGATTAATCACTGTCATCTAGCACAAATACTGAGTCAGACCAAAGCAGTGGCATGACACTGCATACAGATGACGGGTGGTCTGATTGGCTCTGCATGTCTTTTCTTTTCATGTCTGTAAGTGTCTGTCTGTGTCTGTGTGTGGTCGCTGTGCAGGTCTGGTCCCTGTGTCTTGGGCTAGGACCTTATATCTTGTGATCCGCTCCCCTGCTGAATAATTAAATAACCAGCCAATGACTGCCTTGCATTATTTACACAGCCAAAGGTGACAATGCTAATGCTAGCATGCACCAGAGACCATTGCTTCCTCATTCTCTACATGTATTTGTTTTCTGTGTGTCTGTAACTTTCATCTGTACAGACTGTTGTAGCTATTGAGCAAATAGACGCTGGTACAAGCCACAGCCTCTTTCTCCAACTGCAGGAGGCAACTTCTATTGACCTCTTGATACCACAAACACTCCAGACAGGTGGCAATATCCGCATACACTTTATTTATAAGATAACCCATTATGATATAGTGTACACACGTATGGACACGTTGTCTTCTATGAGGTTTTTAGTCTATGAGGTTATGCTGTATCCATTTCTAGGGCAATTCAACAAGCGTCTTGTATGTAGGCCACTGTGCTTCTCTTGCATCTTGGCTGGAGGAAATTCCTAACCAAAAAAAACAAAAACAAACTGAAAAACATTTCCCCCTAACACAATATTCACTTAATATAGTATGATATATTTTAGTATAATAGGCGGAAAATAGGATATCAAATACTGTAAGTAACTGCAAAGTAAATGCACTTTATTCTTTTGTCACAGTGACACAGTCTGTGACCCTTGGGGTTGATGTGGGTGTGGGTTGTTGGTGGTGGTAATGGTGGTGCAGTACTGTTGCCATGGCAACAGATTGAGACTGTCAGGGGGTGGCACCATAGGGACAGAGGGAGATTGTGAGAAGGAAGCAGACAAATGACAGGCCTGTCATCTCTGGAGAGCAGGCACAATCCTAATGAATGTATGTTTCTTTAACTAGAACTAATACACTGATGGGCGCTTCTGAATGTTTTTGTAATCGTGTTTCAGTGCAGGTAATTGACTAAACATTTAGTCTAACAAGTGGCCATTACTGTCTCCTGATTGTACATGGAAAAATATAATAGATGAACCATCTGAAGTATTAGCAGTTATCATTGTGAATACAGGGGTCACAGGTGCCTTTTTACCCAGGATTCAATTACAAAATGAAAGCTGCAAAGGTAAAAATATGTGTACAGGATTTTTTCTCTATATGGAGAGCAAACATCTCTGCGGCTTTGATGCTTGCATTTGAGTTCTCACTACTGGCTGTAAAACACTCGGTTTATTTAGTCATGTAGGGGAAAGAACACTGGAGGGTATGTGTTACACATTTGTAGTGAACATGTGGTCTGTGCAAGGTCAGCTAAACACGAAAGACAAGAGGTTTAAATTCATCTGAGGACATGCTGAAAATACACTTGGTGTAGAAATAGCTGTATCAAAGAGTGGAATCAATGTGCTGACATGAACAAGAAGCTGATGACCACATTGCTGGAGCTACAGCTAACATGTCTTATCAAAATTAAACTAATTCCACGGCTGCAGTCCTTAAAGCAATAGTCCAGCTTTTTTGGAAATCACCTGCTATTTGCTTTCTTTCGGCTAGATGAGAAGATCGAGACCACTCACACATCTGTCCATTAAATATGAGGCTACAGCCAGCAGCTGGTTAGCCTATACAGACTAGAAACTAAGGGAAACAGCTAGCTGTTTCTTTTTCATGTAATCCCTACAAAGACTGAAGTGTAAAAATGACAAGTCGCTGTTTTATAGGGGGTTATGTGCCAGACTGTGTCTTGGCAGGGAGCTGCAACTTCATGAATTCTTGTCACTGCGAGATATAACGCGTTAATTAGTGAGCTTTAGAGGTGCTGATTGGTGGATTTTGTTACCTTCTGACCTTCTTGATGCTTAGATAAGCTAAATGACTTGTTTCCAGAATTTATGCTAAATTAAGCTAACCGGCTGCAGCCTAATATTAAACATACAGATATGAGAGTAAAGTAAATGTCAAACAATCGCTTTTGTTTAGTCCTCATCTCTCCTGCAAATTGGTGGGGTGACATTTAAACACATACAACATTGGGGTCACATGTGAGTTATTGGGGTCTCATGAATAAAGGGCTTCGACTAAAACCACCCACTTTTTACTATATAGTGCACTATAATCACTGCTTTTTTATTTGTGTGTTAGCATTGTGCTAAGAATCTATCAATGCTATTCGTCACGTTTCATACAAAGATTAATAGTTGTAAAGTGTTGGGTGTCTATTATAGGGAGTAGTGAATGAGTGAGCAAGGATTTTGGACACAGCTAAGATGCAAATTGGTGTGAAAGCACCTGAGAAGGAGTGGCAGGACAAGAATTAGGCCATCTGGATGAATCATCAAGTTGTTAACGTGTGTGTTCTGTTTCATTTTATCTGGAATATTCTGGCTACAACTAGAGTAGCCTGTTGTGAAACGATAAAAACGATTATCGCAGACAGACTGAGACACGGAGTATAAGACGCACTGTGACAGACACTATCACACACAAACATACACTCACACAGTATGAGACCTCACAGTTCATTATTAGACGTCTCCTGTAGGCCGTGGATTACCGTAAGAGTCTTTATTTAGCTCAGCCAATCCTCATTAGACACACACACACACACTTGTATGTCAGTGTGAGTTTGTTTCAGGTATTGACATCACAACAGAAAGCATGGATTATATGCTATGATATGGCCAATATCAACACCATTAAACACCAGTCAACAGATATAATGACATACGTAATTATTGCTTCTTATGAGCTCAGAGTCTGAGAATGGCTGTGGATCATGTGTGTTCATCATGCTAGTATGAATATCAACTTGTAGTTGTGCCAGTGACATGATAATGTTATATAATAATTTTTCAGCCATTGTGTACCGTGTCTCTCCGTGTGTCACTTGAAAAGGTTGCAGGGGAGTGAGCTCTTCAGCCATTTCACAGAGTGAAAAGTGAGGCTAAATCAGGAACTGGGAAAAAAAAAGAGTGAAATTGATAAACAGAGGATGGAATAAAAACTCTAATGTGGGTGTTGCAGAAAAGACTAAATAATACCTAAACACAGTGGGGGAAATGATGATTGATGTCACTGCAGATTTCATTAAACATAAAAAACATGAGCCATCATCAGAGATGTTACAGTATGGCTGTTACCATCTGGTCAAGCTGTACAGATGGATTGGAGCATAATTATTAGTTATACAAAGATCAGAAGAAGCATGCTGATTACTCTATTAACTTCAATCTAATTCAGACCATTTTTAATTAATTTGCCTTTTATTTTTCATGTTGATGATTACAGCTGATATTCTCTATTGTGCTAGGAAGATCATTAAATAAACTGGACTGACAGTAAAGCTGATAATAGAGACATGTTAGCGATGGTGTGAAACAGGTGGTGTCAAGACAGGTGTGTATGTACAATATGTGTGCCGGGGGATGGGCAGTGAGACAGCCACCATAGAAAGAACAGGGCCAGTGATTAGTAATAATTTGTTTACATCCCCCACAACCACCCTAACCCCCAACCCGGTCTGCCATCCTGCCACTGAACAGCCCCACGGCTCGAACTCTCATGTCTTTTCAATTCTTACACATTCACGTCTACATCAGTGCTCCCCGACAGACTGACTCTCGCTCTTTCTCTTCCTTCCTGGCCTTCTCTTGCTCATCACCTTGCTGTATTTTCGGTGTGGTCTCCACTTTGGTATCTACCTTCTCAAGGCAAGGCCTGTTCAATATAATGGCCTTCCCCCTCCTTCCATTATCAGAGGTGCCTGCCAATATTTGCTGCAATCCTCTCTGGCACTCTGTGTGAATACATTCAGTCCTGCCCTTGTTGCTCAGCTGTCAATGTCAGTGGGCTGGAGACAAAAATGCATTTGCAGAATATGTAAATGTTTCATGCTTCAATATTTTAAGAATCTAAACAAAATTGTCATTCTGTACTTATTCTACCCCAATTATGTCCCTCAACAATTGCAATATATGCCCCTATATCCATTTATGTAAATTATGTCAAACATGTTTTTTAGTGTGGTTAACAATCATTCTGCAGTAAAATTCATTAGAGAAATATCACCTCTCCAATTTCAAAGTGTTACTTCCTCTTCCTGACAAAATTCTCTCGCTCTCTTTTAATATTTGCGTAGCCATCTGTCTGCACGCTCTTTCTCTCTCTCTCTCTCTCTCTCTCTGAACAAATAACCCCAATATTTAAGAAGAAACTCCCACATCAGACAAAGAATAAATACAATATAAACGGGCCCCAGGTGCACAAAACTGTGTATCTACTGCGGTACAAAACTGAATACTTATTTGTATTTTTAAGTACAAGCCTGATATTTAAATTTAAGATATTTCTTTCACTAATCTGTATAAACATATATTT